CACGGGCTATCTGAAAATCTTCTCAAGTCATTTTATACTCTCCAGGCTCTCCTTAACCTCGTCATTAGGAACAAGACTATATTATCTGCTGCCCGAGGGAGTTCCGACTGACTTGCCTAGCTGAGGAGGAGTAAGGTAGGGTGTGAGTGTGGGTGAGGGGAGGGAGGGGAGGGGGTTGCCAGATAGAGGAATGAGCTGTGATTTCATGGAGAGGGAGAGACGGAGAGGGAGAGAGGGAAAGTGGGAGATAGATAAAGCGGGAGAAAGGGGGATGAGGGAGAAAGAGAGAGAGATGAAAGGAGGGGAGGGAATGAGAGGGAAGAGAAAAAGATAGAGAGAGGGGGGGAACGAAAAAGAGAAAGAAAGAGGAGAAGAGAGAGAGAGAGAGAGAGAGAGAGAGAGAGAGAGAGAGAGAGAGAGAGAGAAGAGAAAGAGAGAGAGAGAGAGAGAGAGAGAGAGAGAGAGAGATAGGAGGAATGAAAGAAGAAAAGACAGGAGAAGAGATATATAGATAGATAGGTATATAGACAAAACAGAAAAAAGAGGGAAAAGAGAAAAGAAGAGATAGATAGACACACTAGAAGAAAGAGAAAGAGGGATGTGGGATAGGAACAAACATTTTTAAGTAAGTAGACAGGAAGATAGATAAAGAGAAGCGAAAAGGGAGGTAAAGAGAAGAGAGAAATGAATTCCAGAGAGAAAGCAGGTGATGAAAACAGTGACGGAGAGAGAAGATGAAGCAAGAGACGGCTTCAAACAAATGCAGAAATTCTCGCTCAGAACGAATTGCAAAACCATATGATTTTGGCAGAACAATAATTAACTGTTTCAGAGAATTATTCAAATGGTGTGTTAATCACCGAGTCAAATGAATTAAATTGTCGATAGGAAGCGTTAGGCAGATGACATTCCGCTGAAGATAAACGGAATATGAAATGTTGTAATCACGGACACACACACACATACACACACATACACACACACACACACACACACACATACACACACACACACACACACACACACACACACACACACACACACACACACACACACACACACACACACACACACACACACACACACACGCACACGCACGCACACACACACAAACACACACACATACACATACATAAATATGTATGTATGTATGTAAAGATAAAAGGACAGACAAGATAAATAGAGAGAGAGAGAGAGAGAGAGGGAGAAAGAAGGTGATTGGGGAAGCAGAGGCATATGAAAAAAAGGCCATCTATCTGTTAACAAGACTGAAGAGAACATTAATTCACGGTTCCTTGTTCGATCCATGGTTTCTGGAAGATATATTTCGCCTCACCAATTAACTTCGACCAAGAAATTCATAGATTTTCCCAGAACTTACTTTAATTTGCAATTTCTCTGGCTTTTTTTTCCCTCTATTTCTCTCTCTCTCTATGTATATCTATCTATCTATCTATCTACCTAAATATATTTTCCTCCTTCCTTTCTTTTTCATCTACTTCGGTGCGTATTTTTATTATTTATTATGATTTTTTTATATCCTTCTTTTCTTCTTTTTTTTTCTTCTTTTTTTTAGCCTTTTGCTCCATTCCCTCTTCCTCTTCGGTGCTTTTATGTTCGCCGGTGCACGTGAAAAGATTTCTCGATGCAATCCCAATTTCGGCGGCAGTTTGTCGAGGACAGGTTGATCTAATAGGTTTTCATTTTTTTTTTATTTTTTTTTTTTTATTCTGTCACTTTCTTATTTTTTAACTGCCAGATTTATGGTTTTCTTAATGATATTTTGTTTTATAACTTTCATTAAATATCACATGATAGGATGCATAATTGAACACTTACACACGTACTAACAAACAAATAAACAAACACATACACACATACACACACGCGCGAGCGCGCTTGCGCATATACACACTGGCAGACAAATAAACGAACAAGCAAAAACACAAAGGAGCAAACAATCAAGCAAACACACGAACAAGTAAAAACACAAACGAGCAAACAATCAAGCAAACACACAAACACACAAACAAAACGCAAGCAGACCAGTACGCAAACAACCACTTATCGCTCTCCAACAAGACCCATCACGCGTTTTGAAAACCGCCCGGGATGCCAACCTCAAAAGTGCCTCCTTTGACGGAAATTTCCCTCTTACCGCACACTTCCCCTCGTCCTCGACCCCTCCCCCCCCCCCTTCCTACCGGCCTCTCCTCCCTCGTCCTCGACCCCTCCCCCCCTTCCTACCGGCCTCCCCCCCTCGTCCTCGAACCCCCCTACCAGCCACTAACCCTCGTCCTCGCACTTAAGGACCACAAATACAATTGGCCCTTTTGGATCAAAGACACTTCGCTTCAACAGGACTTACGTAAAGGCCAATCATTATTGAATTTCTTATATGTTTGGTTTGGATTTTGACGTTGACCAAATGCCACGTGGATGAAGGACAGAGAGAGAAAGCAAACACGCCAATTATAGTCATCCATTTTTTTTTTTTTTTTGCTTCTTTTTCTTCGTCTTAATTTTTTAAAACACAAACGAGCAAACAATCAAGCAAACACACGAACACACAAACAAAACGTAAGCAGACCAGTACACAAACAACCACTTATCGGTCTCCAACAAGACCCATCACGCGTTTGAAAACCGCCCGGGATGCCAACCTCAAAAGTGCCTCCTTTGACGAAATTTCCCTCTTACCGCACACTTCCCTCGTCCTCCTCGCACTTAAGGACCACAAATACAATTGGCCCTTTTGGATCAAAGACACTTCGCTTCAACAGGACTTACGTAAAGGCCAATCATTATTGAATTTCTTATATGTTTGGTTTGGATTTTGACGTTGACCAAATGCCACGTGGATGAAGGACAGAGAGAGAAAGCCAACACGCCAATTATAGTCATCCATTTTTTTTTTTTTTGCTTCTTTTTCTTCGTCTTAATTTTTTTTTTCTTTTTATTCTTGCTTTCTTTAATGTCTTTTATAGTTAGGGTCTCTGGCCAGGGTCTCAACGGGCCAAAGAGATTGTAAGTTTGAAAGAGTTGTTTTGGAAGATTGCCGATTAGACTTTTATTTTTTTTATTTTTTTTATTCTAATTATCTAAGATTTCTTTTTGATATTACGTAGGGAAAAAGTTTTATTTATTTATTTATCTATCTATTTTTATTACCTAAGATGTCTGAGTGTTATATCATTTTTTTGATTATCTAAGATACCCGAGTGATATTCCTACAGAAGAGGATAAACGAGACAAATACTGGAAGAAAAGAGAAGAAAAGAAAAATTAAATGAAGAAGGAGAAGAATAAAAGGGAAAGCAAGCAAAGAAACAAACAGATAAAAAAAAAAATAGATGTCCGAGTGATATAATTACTACAGAAGAGCATAGAGAATAAAAGAGAAAGACGGTGAAAGAAAAAGAAAAAAGAACGAAGAAGAAAAAAAGAAGGAAAAAATATACAAAATAAAACAGAATCAAGCAAAAAAATAGAATAATAATAAAAATGAAGACATATTTCTAAACGGTTACACGTGAAAAAGAAGAAAAAAGAGGGGATAAAGAAACCAGGGAGAAGAAGAAGAAGAAGAAGAAGAAGAAGAAGAAAATGATGATAAACATGTCCCGTTGGTGCTGTTTTTATTCTTGATTATTAATCTAGGTGATTTATTGGCACATTAGATTACGTTTATTTTTATATCTAATTTAAATGCTTGAACTAATATGATGGATTATATTTGCATATATGTGTGTGTGTGTACGTGTGTGTGTGTGTTTATGTGTGTATTTGTGTGTGTGTGTGTGTGTGTGTGTTTATGTGTGTATTTGTGTGTGTGTGTGTGTGTGTGTGTGTGTGTGTGTGTGTGTGTGTGTGTGTGTGTGTGTGTGTGTGTGTGTGTGTGTGTGTGTGTGTGTGTGTGAATATACCTAGCACACAATCAATGAATACATATCAACCTCTGTGTGTATTCAGTCAGCACAATATTGCATGAAAGCACTATGTGTGCTCAGATACAGAGTGCATTGTTAAGAGGGATTATACGTCCATGTAATCCTGAAGACGCCAGGGTGTATATAGGGCGAAATAGAGGCCCTTGCGTGTGGATCTGCGTCAGGAAGCCGTTGTAGAATGGGCCGAGAGAAAACTAATTCTCAAGGGGGAATGAAGGAAGGAAGATAGCTGAAAAGAAATTATTTTTTGCGGGGTGCGATGGGGTGAGGTGGGTTGGTGTAGCTAAACAAACACACACTTATACGCTCAAACACACAAGATTTTCGACACACTCGCATGCGCACACACACACACACACACACACACACACACACACACACACACACACACACACACACATGCACACACAAACACACCATAAGTTTAGAAGTCTGACACCTTCATCATTTTTCTGTCACTTTTGTTTCCTCCTTTACATATTAAGCATATAACTCTAACGTCTTTGCACATTACGTCATTGCGTTAATATCCTGAGTAATACAGAGAGAGAGAGAGAGAGAGAGAGAGAGAGAGAGAGAGAGAGAGAGAGAGAGAGAGAGAGAGAGAGAGAGAGAGAGAGAGAGAGAGAGAGAGAGAGAAAGAGAGAGAGAGCGAGAGTTAGACAGACAGACAGACAAAGATATATATGTATATATATATATATATATATATATATATATATATATATATATATATATATGTATATATATATATAGAGAGAGAGAGAGAGAGAGAGAGAGAGAGACAGAGAAATCATTATCGTTAGCTGATGAATCATGAACAGTAATTTTCATTCCAGTTGTTATTCACACCAACCCTTACCCTTATCATCATCATTAACATTCATCACAACAATCACCCTCATTTGCATAAGCACAAGCATCATCATTATCGTCATTCCCCACTAATCTATTCACTCGTTCATTTATCAGTTAATCAATTTATCCATTTACTAATTCAATTAAAACTGTTGTTCTTTATCTGACACCAAGACACCCCTTCCATTTCAG